GCTTTCGTACTAGATGCACCATGACTCTGAGATTCAGGCATTCTTTATAACAAAAAATATAAATAGTTAATGCAAATTAATTCAACAAGAATAAACAAACTATTTTTATGGTAGGATGGGATTACTACACACATAAGATGTCCTGCACACAAAGTAATGTGGTGAGGCAAATTATAAGGATCGCTAAGAATGATATTCTTAGCATAAGGAGTTAAGTTGTAACTAACTATTATAATTATCTTAATTTGAAAAAGTTTTGAAAAAAATTGTTAATCCGGTGAGGCAAATTATAAGGATGAATAGCTAGAAATTGGAGGAGCTATGAGATTGTTCATAGAATAGATGAAATAATTTATAGGAGCAATAATATTCAATTAGAACATCTCAATAATGTTTGTTTTTACATGTTCAATTAGTACATTTCAATGATTATATTAGCTCACAGACCTATATTACATTCAGGTAATATCTATATCTACCCTCACTATATGCATTCATTTTAATTGTTAATACCTATTTAATTACACTACTGCCTCCCTGTGCAATAATGAAAGAAAAACACAACTATGTGATTGCCAGATCTTTGCGGTGTGATTTGGCACTTAGACTGATTTTCTGATTACCAATAGCCCAATTGGGAGTTTTTAGACTGATTATAGGCTCATAGCTGAATTTTACACAAGCTAAACTATCAAACTTTCGCATGGATCTCAACAAAGATGAACGGTCAAGTGAACTGTGTCATGGACTCAATGAATTATGCATATCAGACATGCTCTCTTTTTACACTATGCATTAACACATACCTTCAAGGAGTAAGGAGTGAAGACTGAAGAGTGTCTTTGGTTGTGTGACAGTGTAAGTCCGGCGGCTGTGTGACAGTGTAAGTCCGACGGCTGCGTGCGTAACTGCGTATGAGGCTAACTCTCTGTGTTCAACCTTCAAACTTCATAACATCTCTTCGTATTAGTTCGGTGATGGCATGACTCACGTACTGCTAGAGTGCTAGGGATTTAGAAATTGAGGAACACACTTCCAGTCTTCCACCGTTCCAGACTTCCAGACTTCCAGTGGGTCAATGGGCTTACTGATTTACTCACATGGTGGGCTACTCCGCTACTGGGCTTGGGGAAAAACAAAGTAAAACTATATTTTTACGGGCCGGTCCGAGTACCCGTTATTTTAAAATTTGGGAACCGGCCCGACCCTAAATTAATTATTAACCGCCCCGCCCCGCCCCGTTTTCTTTTTTCCAAAATCGGAACCGCAAATTACCCGCCCCGACCCTCTATTACCCGCCCCGACCCGCGGTTTCAGACCCGCTTGCCCACCCCTACTTGACATCGGTGATTTACAAAGTTTGTCGGAAAACTAACGTTTTAGCCCTCAAGAACCGCGCGTGAGGATGTGTGAAAGTGGGTTCTGGGTAAACCCTGAGAATAAATGTAGATCTTTTCGTTAGCTTTCCAACAAAGTAAAAATCGCTAAAATCGGATCACAGAGTCAAAACTTATGGCCAATACAGTGTAGACACGCAGAAAATTTTGAATTTTGAGATTTTGAGGAAATTCTTCGAAGTTGAGGTTCTCGATCATGAATATCGAGATCAGGTGGATTTTAAAGAAAATTCTAAGGTAAAACATCGAAATTTGAATCTTGAGGTTTAAGCATCGAGATTAGAATCTCGAGGTCTAAACTTCGAGATTAGAGTCTCGAGGTTTAAACATCGAGATTAGAATCTCGAGGTTTAAACTTTGAGATTAGAATCCCAAGATTACAATCTCGAGGTTTAAACTTCGAGATTTCAATCTCGAGGTTTAAACTTCGAGATTTCAATCTCGAGTTTAACCCTTAGAAGAACGTCGAAATCCACCTGCAAAACAAAACCTCGAGACTTCGAAATCTTTAGAATTTCAAAATTTTTGGAACATCGAAAACTTTGGAGTTTCGAAAACCTCAGAATATCGAGAACTTGTTGTTTGAAAAACATCAGAACATCGAAAACTTTTAAAAACTTTGATAACAAGAGATTCATCCAAAAATTCTACGGAGTATAATTTAAGCTTCAAAGTGTTCTGAACAAAAAGATATCAATCTTCGAACAATTCAGAGTTTCAAGAAACTCCAAACTTTGAAAGATTCAAAACATCAAGAAATTCCTAAGATCTCGAAATCTTCAAAACATCGAAATCTTTCCTGACATTGAAAAAACTAGAATCTCGAGATCTTTTCTTTCAAAATTTCGAAATCCTTTAGAATATCGAAATCTGTCAAAATTTCGAAATCTTGCAAATTGAAAAATTCGAAATTTTCAAAAATAAAAACAGTTTTGAATAGCCCTTGATCTCAAGATTCCACCGGTATCAAATTTGTATCGAAATTCTACCTGCAGTCTGTAGAAACTTGAGTATCGAGATCTCACTGTAGAGATCTTCAAAAATGAAAGTTTGCAGAAATCGAAAAGAAGGTATACTGCTGAATCGTTTCGAGAAGACGATTTCAACGGTATAACTTTTACAAAGTTTCGACCAAAAACAAGATAACTAAGGGAAAAATCGAGATTATGAAAAACTTGAGAAAAACAGAGTCTGTCAAACGGCAGATCCTAAAAATCGCAAATGAATTCAATCTATTTCACGCCTCGGCTCTGATACCAATTGGTAGTCCCTAATTCTTTAACAATCAAACAATCATAGCAGATAAAGAAGAAGCAAATAGAAAGATATGAAGATGAAAACCAAATCTGGTATACCGTGAACTGGCCGCTGCTCTCCCTCGAGAAGGAGAGCAGCGGCAAACCTACTCTCTATCTCGCCTCTAACTCTCAAGTCTCGAAAACCTTATGGTTTCTATAAGTTAGCTTCCTTTTATAGGAGAAGTTGACTAACTTATGGGTTACAAATAAGCTAATGAACTGATATACATTTGTGGCCCATATTACACATTTAACTAATAACTACACAAATACAAAGATATTTAATTAGATTAAACACCATAAAATATTCCTAACACTTTCTGATTTCTCTCAAATATCATTTTTCTGGTTGCACAAATAAAAAAAGAGGTGAAGATAATGATGGAAGATGAAGTAGGAATGGAAGGTAAAAAGAAAGAAGAAGGGAGAAGGATTGAAGAAAGAAGAAAGGAGAGACAAGAATGAAGAAAAGAGTGATGGCTTACTTCGTATGATATGATAGAGAGTGTGAGAAGAGTAAGAAATTGGAAAAGTATTATATACTGTGTAAACCAAGATGTAACCAAGAGTGTAAACCGATATAAAGATTAAATGTTTCACTTTTGAGCCGTTCCAAAGTAAATGATATATTTTGACAAATGATCATACATACCATTGTTAATTTACACTTTCTTTTATTTTAATGTGTAAGCTACCATTTTAATCTTACTTATGTTTTCACTACTACAACAAAATTAAATTAAATTATGATTGGAAAATTTGACAAGAATAATCCAACCTTTGATCGATCTGTTCATAATAATCTCACCTTTATGTATTTTCAGAATAATTCCATCTTTGCACCCCATCTTCTTTCATTGGACGCAAACCGGTTGGTGACCTACTATACCAGATTTTTTGCATTTTGTTTTGGAAAACTTACATAAATAATATCATCATTCACAAATCTGCTCAAAACAGTCATATGTTTCATTTTTTCTTTTCTCTCCCTAATTTTTCTTTCATTAATTTATTCATAGACACTTTTTTTTATTCATTTTCCCATTTGGGAAGGAAATTTCACAAAAAATACTCCTAATAGAGTGAGAAATAAAATAATCTATCTGGGAAGGAAATTTTACAAAATAGGTCTCATGTTTCATTTTTTCTTTTTCTCCCTAAAACTTTTGTTTCTTTATTTTTATCCCTAGATAGTTTTTTATTTCTTTTTCCATTGCGTTGTTCTTATTTCTTTTCAATATTTATTATTTTATTTATCACTCTATCAGGAGTGTTTTTTTTGTAAAATTTCCTTCCCAATTTTTTTGTCATTTTCTTTTTTCTCTTATGTATTTTTATTTCATTTCTAAGAACAGAAATGAAATAAGAAGAGAAACATAAAAAGGGAAATGAAATAAAAATACGAGAAAAAAAGACAAAATATTGCATTTGGGAAGGAATTTTATCAAAAAACTCTCCCAATAGAGAGAGAAATAGAATAATAAATATGGAAAAGAAATGAGAATAAAAGAATGGAAAATGAATTAAAAAAGTGTTCATGGATGAAGTAAGGAAAGAAAAATTGTTGAGAGAAAAAGGAAAAAATATAACACGAGACTGTTTTGAGTAGATTTGTGAAAAGTGAGATTATTTATGCAAGTTTTCGAAAAAAATGCAAAAAACTTGATATAGCTGGTCACCAATCGCTCAGAGCTCAATGAAAGAAGATGAGATGCAAAAGTGAATTATTCTTGTCAAATTTTCCTTATGATTTTAGCATTCACCTTTTTTATTCCATGTGTTCAAAAGCTTTTTGGTAAGTATTTCAAAACAAATACTCCATCCGTTCGAGAAACAACTTCGCACTTGGATTTCACACGTGTTAAAGAAATAAATTTACTGAGGGGTAGATTTTACTGTTTGGCACTGTTTCGACATTGTTTTACACTGTTTTGATGTAGATAATTTGCCAAATAAGGAAGTGGGAAGTTAATTTAGGAACTGCCTGAAAAGGAAAGTTGGAAGTTAATTTCGGGACGGAGGGAGTATTATGTAATATAAAACCAGAACTAGAATTTTGTCCAATGCGAGATGAAGGTGCTTACGAAGGTACCCCTCATCGTAGTTAACGGGATTCGAACCCGAGACCTAACCCTTGTGGCACTCCATTACTTACTTTCATTTACAAACTTACACATGTGGTAAAAACATGTGTAGTATTCGAGTGTCTAATGTGTATGCATATTCTGGTGGTGGTATTTGGGCGAGCGGTAATACGTTACTGTTTTTAAGAGCAGAAAAAGAAAAGAGAAAGGCAGAAAAGGGTCGAATAGTCACAGTAAAGGCCGTGCTTTGCTGTTCATTGCTTTGTCACTCTCGTGCCTCTCCACTCCTTCTTTCTCTCACTATATCGAATGCGTATACGTATGTGTATATACGGTACTGGCAGCAGCATGAGTACACATTTCTCTCTCTAAACTAAAAAAGGTCTCGAGATGGGCGTCTATGATAATAAAGAGGGGACCTCTCTCTCTTCTCGTGTGGGATAACAGCAGCAGGCAGCAGCTCAAAACAAAAAGCCCCCCTTTTCTCCTTTCCCTGTTCTGTTCCTTGTTTTTCACCCTCAACACCCACACACACCCTTTTGCTTCATAACGAAAAAGATCAAATCTTTTTCCATCATCTGCGAGATAATCATACAGTATAGTATCAATCTCAATGAGTGAGAGTGGCGGAGGCTCTCCGGGTGGAGAGACCCTGCCTTTGTTCATGCATCAGAGCCCATTTCTTTCTGATTGAAGAAGTGAAGGAAAACAACAGCGGGTCGGAGTGTTATTCAATTCTTTCTCTCTGTTAAAAAAACAAAATACAAGAATTGGGTGTACTGTGGGTTCGGCTATGCACAGAGAATCATCCAACAGCGGTGGGAGTGGGAGTAACAGCAGCGGTAAGCATCAGATGGACAGCAGCAAATACGTTCGGTACACTCCAGAGCAAGTGGAGGCCCTGGAAAGAGTCTACGCTGAGTGCCCAAAGCCGAGCTCACTCCGGAGGCAACAACTCATCAGGGAGTGCCCCATTCTGTCTAACATTGAGCCTAAACAGATCAAAGTCTGGTTCCAAAACCGAAGGTTATATGCGGCTTTTTGTCTCTCTCTCTCTGTCAAATTTAAACTTTTGGCGTCACTTTTCCCTTTCTTCGACCATTTTTTAATACTTCGGTCATTTTTGTCAATGCTTGAAATTGTTCAGCTTGGTTTCTATTTTCCCCTTTTGGGGGTTGGTGGGGGGTTTGCGGGTTGTCTTCTTCCCTTGAAAGTTGCGTATTTCAAGTTTTTTTTTGTTTTTCATGAAGTTTTTGTTTCCAGACAGTTTTATCTGAAAATTATTTTTTATTGTTATTTTTAATCATATTCTTCTTATCATTATTAAAAAAAATTGTGTCCTTTTCATTTAATTTTTGTTTTATTTTCTCGAAATTATCTTTTGTGGGGTTTGAGAGAATCTTCGTTTTCTTGCTTTTTCTTGTGAACTTTTGATTTTATCTTTTTAAAGCAAGCAGCACTCCGAAAAAAGGATTAATCCGTTGCGTGCTCTGAAGCACACTTGGTGTGAGAAAAAAGTCCACTTCTAGGATTTTTGAAATTATTATTGTTAAAGTATTTTGAAAACCATCTTCTGGAGGCATTTTGGTTTTGGGTTTTGTTTATTTCTTTTTTAGGCGAGAGCCTGACATCCATAAATGTTATTCCGTATAGTTAGATGGTGAAATAATGGAATCGTATAATAGGTTTAGCAATTTTGGTTTTTGTATAATAGATCTAAAAATGTGGGTAGTTGGTAATTTTGTGAACTAGGTTTACCTTCATTCGGAATCTATTGTTTCTCAATTTTTTTTAAAAATTAATTATTGAGTTAAATGTGTGCTAGTATTTCTTCTTGTATAAACTTTTATTTTCAAATTATTTATGCTTATTTTGACTATTATTGGTAATTTGGAATCTCTACGCTCAAACTTAAATGCAGTCAACAAGTGGTCTAAGTTGACCTGACTCCTACTTTGTCCACAAATTGGTTTATTGCCACTTGTAGCTTGTTCTAAATTTTATGCAAAACTGAACACAACAAGACAAGCACTTTTTTTTTCACTGCCCTTTTTTATTTGTGACATTTGTATCTATCTTTCAAAATACTGAGTAGTTAACTATTTATTTTTCTAGTATGGCTAATTGTCATGCCCTCTAGCATCTTGTATACTACTAATGGACTTTGTTAAACAATCTGAATGTAGCTTCTAATACCAAATTGGTTTATTGCCACTTGTAGCTTGTTCTAAACTTTATGCAAAACTGAACACAACAAGACAAGCGCTTTTTTTCGCTGCCCTGTTTTATTTTTTTAACATGGCTGATTATCACGCCCTCTTGCATCTTTTATACTACTATTGGCCTTTGCTAAACAACCTGAATGAGAAGATGCCAGATTATACGGATGGGTAGCTTTCAATACCAATTTTTGTCCCTCTGAATTTTTGTGTTCATAAATCATTTTTTTTAATTTCCCCTTTACAGATGCCGTGAAAAGCAAAGGAAGGAAGCTTCTCGTCTACAGACAGTGAACAGGAAGCTGAATGCCATGAACAAGCTCTTGATGGAAGAGAATGACCGTTTGCAGAAACAGGTCTCTCATCTGGTTTGTGAGAATGGTTACATGCGACAGCAGTTGACTACTGTAAGTATGAGGGGGAACATAATGTGGTAACTGAACTATATGCTCTATTCGATTGCTAGAAAATAAGGAAGTTATAGAAAATATTTTTCTGGAATGTAAGCTTATATGTCTAACCAACATAGCAGTAAATGGTGTTCCATAGAAGTTGAAAGAAATAAAGGAAGTGCTTTCCTTTCCCAAAGTATTTTTCTGCAACAACTGGAACCTTAATACATCTATGCCTCTGGATAAAAGTTTTGCTGAACTTTTTTTTTTGCTGACCTGCTATATATGTGTTGTATATCTCTTCTCATATGTTAGTGGGTTTATATTTAACTTGGGTAATATTACAGGTAAACACCACGACCACGGATACGAGCTGTGAATCTGTGGTCGTGAGTGGTCAGCAGCAGCAACATCAAAACACAACACAGCATCCACAAAGGGATGCCAACAACCCAGCTGGGTAATTGAATTAGTAATCTATGTGTCCACTTTAAGAGCACAGCCTTGCACATGATGTATTCCTTTTTTTTAAAATAGTTCTGATTGAATACTACTATAATTATACTATGTAATTGTTTTTCATTCCTTGTTGTGTAGCCTCCTCGCAATAGCTGAGGAGACCCTGGCAGAGTTCCATGGAAAGGCTACTGGAACTGCTGTCGATTGGGTTCAAATGATTGGTATGAAGGTAAGTGGGTTGTTTTCTTATTTACATAAATGTTGATGCGTTTCATTGACGTTCACATGATGATAATTTCCCTGTACTTGTGTTTTTCCCTTTTTAGCCTGGTCCGGATTCCATTGGGATCGTCTCTGTTTCCCGCAACTGTAGCGGGATAGCAGGACGAGCCTGCGGTCTTGTGAGCCTTGAGCCCACAAAGGTACATTTTTTGAACTCCAGTATTTTATCCTTTCAGCTTTCCACTTATTCTAGCTTTTGCTGAAGGCTCCCTTTGGTTCATTATTTGGCTCAAATGGATGTAGTGGTGTTACCAAACATTCTTCCTTTTAGAATATAAATAAAAGCCTATTCAGCATGATAAACCCTTACCCCAAACAGGCTCTAAGTGTTGTGTTTTTTCTTTTCATTTTGCTAGATTTCTATCTTGTATCTGATCTTATTTCAGGTTGCTGAAATTCTTAAAGATCGCCCTTCCTGGTATCGCGATTGTCGTTGTCTTAGTGTGCTGAGTGCACTCCCAACAGGGAATGGAGGGACTATCGAACTCATATACATGCAGGTATGTATCTATTTTCTGCATGCTGTCTTTTCAAATAAATGCGTAAAACTTTCATCATTTTTGGGAACATTAGGCGTCTATGCTTATTTCAAATAAAGATAACTATGCTTATTTACTAGACGTATGCTCCAACAACGTTGGCATCGGCTCGTGACTTTTGGACGCTTAGATATACTACGAGCTTGGAGGATGGCAGTCTTGTGGTATGTCTGTGGAGTGACTGTTTTTGTTACATGTACCTAGTACAAAACCAAAGTTCTCAGGTATTTATTTATTTTTTGTTTATTTAACTGTTTGAAAATTAATTTTTGCAGATATGTGAGAGATCATTGACGTCTAAGACTGGTGGCCCACCAGGACCTCCGACCACAAGTTTCGTGAGGGCAGAAATGCTACCAAGTGGCTACCTTATTCGTCCTTGTGAGGGCGGCAGCTCCATGATCCATATTGTGGATCATGTTGACCTTGATGTAAGTAGTGATTATTCCAAGCAGTCATCGAGTATGTTGACCCATTATCTCTCCCTTACACTTTCCTACTGATCTCTTTGTGGGTTTGCTGGTTGGGATCACAGAAACTACCAGGGAAAGTTTAAAGAGTCTGTATAATGCTATTTCACATGCTTGATTTGACCCTTGGAAAATTCAATGCAAAGTCTGTCTTTATGTAATAAAACTAAAAAAATTCGAACACATCCAATATAAATTCATGCAGTTTGAGTCTGTCCTTCTAAATTTATTCCCTAACATTTCCATATTCCAAATGGACCCTTCAGGTTTGGAGCATTCCTGAAGTTCTGAGACCACTCTATGAATCGTCCAAGATTCTTGTACAGAAGATGACAATGGCTGTAAGATAGCAACATATTGTGTTTTTTACAACTTATATATCCAAGAATTTGTTTTTTAGTTCATCGGATTTGTCCTTGTTGCTAGGCCTTCCGCCACATACGGCAAATAGCACAGGAAACAAGTGGGGAAGTGCAGTACAGCGGGGGTCGACAGCCTTCGGTTCTAAGGGCTCTCAGTCAGAAACTTTGCAGGGGATTCAATGAAGCTGTGAACGGGTTTGTTGATGATGGGTGGACTGTTATAGGTAGTGACGGTGTAGAGGATGTGACCATTGCCATTAACTCATCTCCAAGCAAATTCCTTGGTTCCAACTATAACAACTTGTCTATACTTCCAACTTTTGGCGGAGTACTTTGTGCAAGGGCATCGATGCTGCTTCAGGTATGTTCTTCTTTAGAGCTTGTTTTCCATTTAGGATAGCATATTTCCAAAGAATAATTTCTTTTTCATGGGAAGACAATTCTTTTTTCACTTTTGAAAGAGATGATGTCAAGGAGATGAAAAAAGTGCTTAAGTTCAGGAAAAGAAACACTTTTTGTGCTTATTTTGGAAATCACCAGGTTGGAGTGTTTTTAGAGAGCACTTTTTTTGTAGAAGCACTTGTAGCACAAGTCATTCCAAATATGTTGTTACTTGTTTGTGTTCTAGAATTTCCTTCACATTGTTTTTTCGTCACTTTTTGGTGTAGAATGTTCCACCTGCTTTACTTGTTCGTTTCCTGAGAGAGCACCGTTCTGAGTGGGCTGACTACGGGGTTGACACTTACTCTGCTGCTTCTCTGAAAGCTAGTCCGTATGTCATACCTTGTGCAAGGCCAGGAGGCTTACCTAGTAGCCAGGTCATCTTACCTCTTGCCCAGACTGTGGAACATGAGGAGGTAGATTGCCTAATCATATCTCAGTGCATTCTAATAGCTATACTGTACCTAATTGCTCTTCACTAACTAAAATTATGTTATAATAAAATGTTTGTTCAATTCTTATTCTCTAGTTCCTGGAGGTGGTTCGTTTAGAGGGTCAAGCCTTTTCTCCTGAGGACATTGCTTTATCACGGGACATGTATTTGTTACAGGTTAACATGCATTTTTGAAATCCATAAATTTATTATATTTTTCCAGTCTTTAGGAAAAAAGCCGTTAACAACCTTCTGATACGTTTCTGTACAATGATGACAGTTATGCAGTGGGATTGATGAGAATGCTGCAGGAGCTTGTGCTCAGCTTGTGTTTGCACCGATTGATGAATCTTTCGGTGATGATGCTTCTTTACTTCCATCTGGTTTCCGTGTCATACCACTCGAACCAAAATCAGTTGAGTTATTGTATACTATTTGCTATGTGATGATATGATTAATATAGTATGTTAGTCACATAAAGGGTTATTATTGAAATTTAAAATACAGTTTTTGAAGAGTTTTTTAATGTTTAAATACTTTTTTTCTCCTCTAACTCCCGGCAATTTAGGATGCGCCTGGAACAACTCGGACCTTGGATTTAACTTCTACCCTTGAAGCTGGAAACGGTGGAACTCGTCCAGTTGGCAGTGAAGTTGAATTTAGCAATTATAACCACCGTTCCGTTCTGACAATCGCATTCCAGTTTACTTTTGAGAACCATTATCGCGAGAGTGTAGCTGCTATGGCTCGCCAGTATGTCCGGAGCATTGTTAGCTCTGTTCAGAGAGTTGCAATGGCCATTGCGCCATCTCATATCAGCTCCCATTTGACGCCAAAGACTGTACCTGGCTCACCAGAAGCTATTACTTTGTCTCGTTGGATCTATAGGAGCTACAGGTGTGTGAGTCACTTGTGAGATTTAACCACTAGCAATTTCTTCCCATTTTTCCTTGGGCTGTGTTTGGAATGTGGGAAATGGCAGAGAAGGGAAGAAAAGTTCCCTGTGGTTGTGCTTTGCCTTGAAAATAAAGTAAAAGAAAATTTGAAATAACTTTTTAATAATTTACATATATTTAAATTGCATAGTCTTGATATAATAGAAGTATACAATAATTGAGTTGGAAAGAATATCTAAAATTGATTAGTTGAGCTTGAACCAAGTTTTTATCCCCCCCCCCCCCCCCCCCAATTTCTTTCCATCCATCCACATGCCCCCCATTTACTTGCTTTGGCAATATCGGGGTTCCAAACAGACCTTGAAAGACAAGAAACCAGTCGGTATTACACATTTCCTTTATGCAGATGATACATTTTAACTTTCTTTACTACCAACTCAATGGTCTTATTGTCTTGCAGAATGCACACTGGGAGTGAACTTCTTCAATTGGAGTCACAAGCTGGTGATGCTGTGTTGAAGCAACTATGGCAGCACTCTGAGGCCATAATGTGCTGCTCCGTCAAAATGAATGTTAGTATCGTATCCATTTTAATCTTAAAAATCAAACTTTTAGTATCATATCCATTTAAATCTTAAAAAACAAACTTTGCATAATTGCCTAGGAGAGTATATGAGAATAAGATCACACTTCCCCCCTCCAAAAAAGACACGAGGAAGATTCAATTGTTGGGCTACAGGGGGAATCTTTTGATAGCGTTGCCAGCTAGATATGCATTTTGTTATAATTAATATGCAAGTAAATAAAGAGGTTGACATGCATATTCATGCAGGCATCTGCTGTATTCACATTTGCTAACCAAGCTGGGCTAGACATGCTAGAAACCACTCTTTTAGCCCTGCAGGATATAATGCTCGATAAAATTCTAGATGAAGCTGGCCGGAAAGTCCTTGTTTCGGAGTTCTCAAAGATCATGCAGCAGGTAAGACTTGAAAACCTGTTAAGATTATTTACTTGATGCTAAAAAAAACTGCATCACCTCATTTGGTAAATAGTAAAAATGGGCAACAATTTTTACTATTTGATGCTTTCTTACTAAAAAATACATTTGTTGCCTGCCCACAGGGGTTCACATATCTACCTCCCGGAATCTGCGTATCTAGCATGGGAAGGCCTGTGTCATATGAACAAGCTGTCGTGTGGAAGGTTCAGAATGATGAGGATGCCAATCACTGCCTAGCCTTCATGTTCATGAATTGGTCTTTTGTTTAAGTCAACCAAAGGAGTTTCATCTAGTATGTAATGCTTAGTATGGGTAGGTACTATAGAACATTGCAGTTAGTTACTTAAAAGTGGAAGTTCTTGTGGTCAAACCTTTGTATGACATGAAGAAAAGCTGTATGTCAAGCTGTTATGTGCAAAAACATATTTGCATGGGACAATGACATTATGGTTATGACAGGCAATGTGTTTTTCTTAGTGGCCAATGATTCTAGCTGTCTAAGTTCTTTATCAGCACATCTTATTTGTGAGGCTGTTTGTTGAAATTTCATTGATGGTTGTTATGCCTGGGACCACCTAGTTATTGTGTTGTTGGTATGGTTGAGTGTTGGGAGTACTACTACTAGGGGTCCTGTTGGTTGGTTGGTTGGTTGGGTTGTTCTTGTCATTTTCACTTTGGGCAACATTATTGCAACCATTGAATTGTAATGTTCTAAAAAGGTTTCTTTCATTTAATGTCAAACCATCTCAATCTATTGGAGTTTGGATTGGGAATTGGGATTCTAAAAATACTTCGAAATCCTCTTTCAGTAAAATTTTGGTCGAGAGCTGGTCTTGTATTGGAATGGATTTGGGTTTTTAAGTAATAACTTTTAATTAACTATGATGACTATTAAATTTTTTATTAAAAATTTTCAAATAAAACTAAATCTAAGCTATTCTTAATATTCGTAAATACTATTACATTTTAGAAAGAAAACATATTTAAAAATAATAATTGATTAATTAGAGTTTAATCGGTACAAATATATATATTTCGGGTTTAGAACAGAATCTTAAACTTTAAAAAGTTAGGATCAAATTTCAGACTAGTATGTAACTAGTTCCGTACGATCTGGACTGACCTATCCAGTTTAGGGATGGACTCGGGCTGGGTCAACCGGCCCAGAACCGGACCGGCCCGCTACTGTGCGGGCCCGGCCTGGCCCGGTGAACCGGTTAGTGCCCGGTTCGGGCCACCCGGCCTGATGACATAGCGGTTCAGTCCCAGGCCGGCCCGCTACTGTGCGGGCCCGACCTGGACCGGGCCCGGTCCGGGCCTCAACGGTCAAAATTAAAAAAAAAAGATTTTTTTTAAATTGTTAAAGGCTCTATAGCTGTTGGGAGAGCTCCCAAACGGCTCTATAGCCGTTGGGAGCATAGGAGGGGGGGTCTCGGGGGTTAGGGGGGTGGGGGTGGGGTATACAAAAAAAACTATTTATACTCTTATTTTCTATACATTTTTTACACATCTTCCTACTCTCTAAATTCTCTATTCTCTTAATATCTCATATTCAATCACCTTCATTCTTCATCTTCTCCAAATTCTTTCTACATATATATAATTTATATAATTATTATATCTACTTATATATTAATTATCTACTTATAAATATATACTTATACACATTCATATTATAATTCTTTACACATTATATTATATATACTATATATAGTTATACATTATATTATATATTACTTATCATATATTTACACATTATATATAGTTATATACTATATATACGTATACTCATTCATATAGACTTATACACATTCATACATTTTATAAAAGTAGTTAATTGTTAGACTTCTCGTTTATCTATTAAATTAGTTAAACTAGTTACTTATTTAATTGCTACATTTCTCATTAAAGTAAAAAAAGTAGTATGTTTTTACATTTGTCATATTAATATTAGTTAAAGTACTTAATTGTTTCATTTGTCATATTAATATTAGTTAAAGTAGTTACATGTTACATTTGTCATATTAATATTAGTTAAACTACTTAATTGTTACATTTCTCATATTAATATTAGTTAATTGCTATATTGCTCATTAAAGAAAAAAAAAGTAGTTAATTTTTACATTTCTCATATTAGTTAATTGCTACATTGCTCATTAAAGTAAAAAAAAGTAGTTAATTTTTACATTTCTCATATTAGTTAATTGCTACATTTCTCATTAAAGTAAAAAAAAGTAGTTAATTTTTACATTTGTCATATTAGTTAATTGCTACATTTCTCATTAAAGTAAAAAAAAGTAGTTATTTTTTACATTTCTCATATTAGTTAATTGGTGCATTTCTCCTTAAAGTAAGAAAAAGTAGTTAATTTTTACATTTCTCATATTAGTTAATTGCTACATTTCTCATATTTTAGTTCGAATTTGCTATAGTTTTCTTAGTCACATTTTATTATTACTATTGTACTCATATAAAATATTTGATATCATTTAATATTTGTTCAATTTTAATGATGGAGCATGGTAGACATTCTGTAGATGTGGATAATCTCCAACGCAACCGCAAGAGGGAGATTGCGTCGACTCGATCTACTTCACGCAAAGGCAAAGGTAAAGTGCGGGCCGAGTCTTGTTTTCAAAGTTGAGATGCTTTTGAAACGGATTACCAACGACGAGATGATATGATGATGTCTGACGAGCAACTACAAAACCTGTTGTTCCAAAATGATCCACGCTTTGCACAAGAACAACAATTTCTAGATTGCGTGAATTGTGTATAATGCTAGTAATAATACTGTTGCTATACCTAGATTGCGTATTTTAATTGAGTATAATTTGAGCGTATTTTAATTGAGTATAATTTGATTGATAAGGTGTTTGAGCAAGAATTTAGTGCGGCCGGCAACGTTCTAACCGATTATAGAACGAGGTTGAGCCCGAGCTCTCTTGAGACGCTAGTTTGCTTCCACGATTGGTTGAAAGCCCAACGAAGAACTCAAGAAATGACCATCGCTCCCACCCGCCACTTTATGGAGGAAACAACCGAAGACGGAGATTCTGATTGATTTTTTATTAGAAAATGTATTACATTTTTTAAATTCATCATAATTCTCAATTGTACTTCTTATTTGAAATAAATATACTTGAATTATTTTATATTATTGTGTACATCAATTCAATAATGCTCAAACTTATAACTTAAATTAATTAATTGGTTACAAACTTATAACTTACAACTTCAAATTATTTTTGTAATAAGAATTATTCTAATAATATAATATATAATTTTAAAAAAAAATTAAGAGGCCCGGCCCGGCGGGCGACCCGGCCCGTGAACCGGGCGGGTGACCTGAACCGAACCGGACCCAGGTTTATCCGGGCCGGTTCCGGGCCTCCCATACCATGAACCGAGGCCCAGCCGGTTCAAGGCCCGAACCGGGCCCGGCCCGAACCGAATCCACCACTAATCCAGTTTACGTGTCTGAACCGAAGTTTGCTCACCCCTGTAAAGGCAATACACTAAGAAAGAATTAGGGATGTATGCACGCATTTAAATAAAAAAATATTTAATTAAAATGTATACACTGCATTTAAATGTAACACATTCTAAATTCATATATTTAGAAAAATAACTCAGATTATATAATTGAAGTAGTCTACAAAAAGTTTTTTTTTTTTGAAATAAGAAAAAGGTAAATTAAAGCGTAATTAATAAAGTAAAATTTATTTGATTATAAAAATTTTATAAATCTATTTGAAAGGGTCTAACAAATACACTGCATTTAAATGTAAAGCATTCTAAAATCATACATTCATCTATATTTTTTGTTAACCATGGTTGTTTGTAAGCCTCAAAGTTTTTTTTGGCTTAACCAATTCTAGTACGTATGCTATTTTTAATTTTAAAATAATATTATATTGTTAATTCATATAATTGGTGCATATTATATTTGTGTTAATCCTAAAATGATTTAGAAATTATTATTCATGCAATATTTTTTTTTTAAAATAAGTCAGAACTAAATAAATGCTGTAACTTTTAATGTGAAAAACAACATTCTAATATCATTAAAATGTTTAACTAATGTTTATATTACGTAGTATTTTACTATTGCTCGATACTTTAAAGTTTAAACCTTACAAAAATGGGTTCACTCTTTATGGTATAAGTATATCAATGAGTTGTTCTATTATTCATGCGTCCAAATCAAGAAATAAAGAATATTAATTATATTTAGGTAGAAAAACTTAACTTAACTATAATAGTTAATCAGGATAAATTATTGGGCTTTTTCCTTGAATATCATCAACTTGAAGTTAATTTTCAAAAATGTGTCCACTTTTACAAAATGACAAAAATGCGACTAAGAAGGTTATATATATTCGTAAAACATGATGTTACTGTCATTTTTATGCCACTATCAGGTTTTTATGTCACTTTTGAAATGTCACTACCGATTTTCTTATCACTTTCAGATGTCACTGTTATTAGAAAACGTGTCACTGTGTCGTCGAAAAATTTTTCGGCATCTTTTCCCCATCAAAATTTTCGTCGGAAACCGCGACCCTGTCGCCCCAACAGCGCCGCCATCGCGTGAGACCGCCTATGTCCCCTTACCCCAGCCCAGCCCCCTCTCATGCTCCCCCACCCCTGCACCGCTAGCCGGCCTAGCCCCCTCCCTTGCTCCTCTACCCCCCTCACCTGCACCCACAGCCCCCTCCCCAACCCTAGCTCCCCCATCCTTGTCCCAAGCCCATTTTCGATGCTTCATCTCCATCTTCCCCTAGCCCTGAAAATCCACTGCCATCGTCCAATACATTTTGATTCAAATAAAAACATGATCTAAGGTGAGAAATGAGAAAGAATCTGGATCGTTAGATTTGTTTTAAGTGAAATTCAATGTGCATTAGATGAACCTGTAACGTGCATTAGTTGAAATTGAAATGTGTAGCACAAATGATACGATACAGTGGCATTATGTGATGCTGAATTGTGCATTAGGTTAAATTGAAATGTGCACTAGATGAAACCGAAATGTACAGAATAAAAGGTACGATGTGATGTTATTTTTGTACCTTTTATTCCGCACATTTCAGTTTTACCTAATGCACACTGATGGATAGTCTACCCGGGGGTATATATCCGAGGGGTTATTGCTGAGAATAACTTAGAGAGAAGTCAGAGCACAAGTAAGTAAGAGAGAGAGTGTATTCAGTATGAATGTCGTGGTTACAAATGGGGAAATGAGGTGCTATTTATAGTAGCAATAAATGCCGGACAGGGACACGTGTCAAGCGCCTATTGGCCGAGAGGTCACCTCAACTGGTTGGCGTTGGCAGCCGCATGTGGCCGCATTTAATGCGGCTGTTGGATGGGACGTCTGTACATGTAACACCCCCAAATTTCCCACCCAAAACGTTGGCATAATTGAAATAAAACTTTTATTTATTCATCAAAGAGTTAAAGAAATACAGCGGAAGTCTAAAATAGGGAAATGGGTGTTACCGCCACATCCGGTCATCTCTCAACCGGATGCACAGACAACTAGAACATAACAACTAATTTA